CGTTATTTAAACTGTCAAGTAAATTGTTCCTATCTGTTTCGTCTAATCTGGGAGAACTAGTTGTCGCTTCTTGATTTTGCGAGCTGCTCGCTCGTTGCGCGACGGGTTTGGGGACATTTGGTTGAAACGCTGAGTGAGTTGAAACTGTAAAGTTAGATGCGCCATTACGGGATGTCGATGCTCGCGAATAACCTTCATCACTCGAAGATGAGGTGTCTTCTAGAATAACAGAATATAGATTTTAAGTCAACAATAGTAATCTTATTTTTCTATTTTATATACTTGCAGTTCTGTTCAAGTAGAAATATTACCAATATAGGATAACGGCATTGGTATGGAAAACTCAATAGGCCCCAATTTACGCTTTCGCCGCCTCGGCGGTTCGTCCTCCGTGTTCAAGGCATCAAATCGTCTTCTCGTTGCCCTCCCAGTACTTCTTGATGAAGTACCAGCGTTTTCACTATTATTGGCATTGGCATCGGACCACATCGTGCCACGCTCTTCGTTCTCACCGGCGTAACTTGTGCTAGGAAACACATTGGATTCCAAATCGCGCAGTCTCGAAGACAGCATTGATGATGCGGAACTAGTGCTGGGAACTTGTCCGTCATTCGGAGTAAGAGCTCTCCATTCGGCCTCGGTTAAATTCACCTGCGAAGGGTCGGTCGCGATATGCCGATTTCGCGGCAGAATACCATACATGGTGAATTCATCTCGCAACCGCTCGATCCTAGAACTCGTGTTAGTAAATTGCGCCTCCATATTGTTAAGCGCTTCGATCTCGTCGTTCAGAGCATTTCGAAGCAGCTGAAGGCGAGAGTTACGGTTGTTAGAATGCTCGAATAAAGTCGCGGTCTGCCGCTGTAGCCTTTCCCGCAATTTCTGCAATCGCACCAAGCACGAGCTATTATTCTCGGCGGCGGCGTTCAGAGCCTCTCTCAAATTCTGAAGAGTAGTCCCAATCTCCTCTTGCTCGGAACGTTCCATCAATAATCGCTGACATCGTTGCAACCTTTCCAGATTCGTGTTATTCGCTTGCGCGCTGGAATTCAATTCGTTCCTTAATCTTCGTATAGATGATTCAGTCGCCGCCGATTCGTTTCTATTACTAGACTCCTCAAGATTAGAGGATAACGCTTCCGGCATATCCATGGGGTCAGTGCCACGGTCGATCTTCAAAGAAAATCAACATATTCTTTACACACGCTTGATAAAAGGGAAAAAATTCTAGTGAGATTGCAACATATATAGCTCACAGTATCTCTATTTCTGGAAACGTCGAAGTAACGTCTTACGAGCGTCACATATTGATCGACGAGATCTCTGTAACATAGATTTATTCTTCTTTCCGGATCTTGAGAATTGCTCCCGCGCAACCTTTCGTCCACGCCGAACCACACGTTGTTCAATCGCTGGTTAAACTCGTCCCTGGGACGAGAGTCGTTTATGGCGCTAGATTCTCGATCGCGCCTCCTCACGGAGCTCGGCAAATCATCGTCGTTGCTGTCGTCCGCCGATCTGTTCTCGGCATTGTCCGTGTTCGCTGGATTGCCGGTCGGACGAAGTGGATTTCTCGTAATGCTTGGAGAAGATGTAGCCTCCCTAGTTTGATTCAGTTCTACATCGTAAGGCATAAAACTATTACGATGAATCTCGATTGTTACAAATGGAGTTGCATTAGTTCACAGTATCCGTAATTGACACGATAGTATAATGTACCTTCGGACAGATTTCGTCGCCGATGAAACCGCGTTTCCTCTTGCCGCACGCTGTTTCTAAACTGTTGGTGATAATTGGCAAATCGTGAGAAGCTGGACATTTCATGGCCTCTGCGCATAAACAGATACGCACTGAAAAAATTTATATTCAAATTTCGCAAATTTCCCGATGAATTTCGATGATTTTGCATTGTATAATTTAAATACCGAGAAGGTCTGTCTACAGTGTGACTGTCTGCCGATCCTCTTCCGTAAAAAGAGCCATGGTTCCACAAGTGAAAAGGCGAAAGTTCGATATCTGGGAAATTTTCTCGTGGCTGATACCTAAAGTTCCTAATTTTTTCAAGATTAGTTAAAATACAAAGTTATTTGGAATGACGCACATATAACAAAGGAATAAGTAAAAGATACAGATTTTTTGATAAAAAGAAATACAATTCAAAACTGAGATATTCAATTTTACCTATTTGTTTGTAAAAATAATTATAAATAAAAAATAAGATTATTAATAGATTTATAATAAATATTTCATTGTTTTTGTATTCCAAAATTCAAACTTTTTATTTAAAATTGTGAAAAATATCCAGATGTTAATGACAAACAGATCCATATCTAAAATTTATTTATACGCGCAATATTCACGTCATAGTGTTTTTACTTACATCAAACTAGTTCTAAGTAATTGTCCCACGGGAGCCCGATCCCATTGTGATTGTACTTGCGGCGTATTTGCAATGCCTGTGATTAGTTTTCTTCCTAAACTGTCAAAAGCTACATATCTGTAATTTTTACAACGTAAGATATAGTTTCTCGTAACATTTTTTTCCGTATATCATAGTCTATGATGCAATTTCTTTTAAAATTACCTCACTTTTTCTTTGTCAGTCTTTGTAGCAGTTACAGCAAACGGTTGAGACTTACTCCAGTCCCAGAAGTGAATTTCATTATATGTGGCTATAACTAACAATCTTTCAAAGGGATGGAACGCGAGTGAAGCGATAACGGTATGGCTGTCAGCATTCCAAATTTCGCTACCACCCTACACGGACAAATTTGCGTTGTGAGTCATCAAACGCATTGCCGTTTCATGCCGAAGTAAATTATATATAATTCCAAAAATTGTACTCACACTTAAATCCCACACGCGAACTTGACCTCCTAAGCAACCGGACGCTAAGATCTGACTGGAGGACGGGTGAAAAGCTATGCACCAGGGAGTACGTGGGTGTCCGGACAAAGTTCTAATATTCTTTCCCGTTGTAATTTCTGTGATATAAACATTGTGATTCCCATGTGTAGATGCTACCATGGTCCTGAAATTATTGTTTCATAAATCTGTAATTTCCTCTAATGTTCTCCATTGCATTATTATAAATAAAAGTAGCTACTGTGCGCATGTTACTTCGTTCTTTAACTTATTAGCATTACTTTCTAGTAATCACACAACAAAATATATTATTATATTTTGCCCATTGCATCTTACCCATCAGGACTGAAAACCATTAGGAAAGTGGCTCTAGGAACACCAGGTAATTCACATTTCTGCAAATAAACAGACAACACTTAGTATGTTACTTTGCTGTAACATATGTAGCAATAAATATGTATCATTATTAACTCAGCCATTAGAAACTGATGAAGTTGGAGAACAAAAGTCGTTGTAGAAGGCTATTTTATCAGGCATTTATCGTTGTACTACATCTACTTGGGCCTTCACAAATTAGAGATACAGACACACGAAAAACACTGAAGTTACACAAGTTGTATTATACAGCTATTAGATGGTCGGATATAGAAGTATATACCAATTCCTTGTGGTCCCTCAGGACAAAGTTTGCTTCAGCTATGGGCTCCAATTCGCGCGTACTGGTCTTATGCGTCGTGCGTAACCCAAAATCCCTCAGCATCAAATTGCGCAGTATATTGTGCGACTTGCTGCGGTGGAGCAACTCCGGTCTTTTCTTGACTTTCCCCATTTAGCTGAATGTCCTTGCAACACCTCTAAATAAATTGCAAAATATATTACGGCATATAAATACAGCCCTAAGAATATATATATATATATTTTTTAAGAAAATAAAAGCACTCTTCTGATATACCATAAGTAACTCGTTTGACAAATTTAAATATTTCCTATTACCAGTTCTACTTTGTTTTTCTATCATTATCTATCTTTCCTCATTTTTTTTCTTTGCTATATATTTTCTTATATTTTGTTATCAAGCTTTTTACAGTTTCTATGCCTCAAAATATATAAAATACATGTGTATATTATATATATAAATAAAATTATATATGTACATATACATATATAAATTTATATTTTTCTGTCGTAATTCTCATTCGAGAAGGTCGAGAATAAGTGCATGTAGAAATACTTTCAATTTCGACAAACATCACGGGCCTACTGCTGTCTTGCTAGAGTAATCCGCATCAAAGATATATAATATATTGTTAAGGTAGGTTAAGCTCTCACAGAAGCGCCCATACCGATCCCAACCGAGAATCTCGACGAAGGGCAGCGCGACTACGCGAAAGGATTAGCGGACGCGGCGTTCGTAATTCGGACAGTATTGGCGATCTCTTTCTGGCGGCGTTCGCTCGCGGGGTTCGATCCACGTCGATAAGCTAATTACTGATGCGCTGGGTGGCCCGGAAATAGCAATGTCGTACGAGCCGAGACAAATTCCGAATTTGCGTCCCCTCCCTCTCCCTGAGTCTCTTTCTCGTTCCTCTCGGCCCCTTTTCGCACGGACGGACGGACGGCAATTCCGTTTACCTGCGAGAGTTATCGTTCCGCCAGGATGACGGGCATGGAAGAGAAGGATACGCCTCACTCCGCGTACACGACGAATGTAAATTTCCAATCGCGTATCCTATCGAAACACATCGTTGTCCTCCATTAGCTCGTTCGGACGTTCGGAGTATTGTGGACTATCGCGAGGCACTGCGGACCCTCGGGCCTCGAGCTCGTCGGTCACGATGTTTTTCGACTGATTAAATTCGTGGTGCATCGCTAGATGACACTAATCTTACGAGTGGCGCGGAGAGGGGGGAGAAAGAGAAAGAGAGAGAACTAGAGAGAATGTGTGTGTGTGTAAATAAAAATGCAATATTCTCATGGGAAAGCAAGAACATAATTTTAATCTTCTTCAATTAAATAATTTTAATTATTTTCTATTATTTTTAATTGATAGTACAATTTTTATTGGCGCAAATCGCCTATTTATTTAACATGTTTGATATATACTAGAGGGAGTTTTTCGTCAATAAACAAATAAATAAAATTTGAAAGTATTTATTTATTATAATAGAATATGCCTTGTAAGCTTCCATCGCGCCTACACAACAGTATATATTTTATACATTATAAATTTCTCTTTGATATCTCATAATTAAATTCTTATATAAGTTCTTATATACAATTAGGTAAAATAATTTTTGTAGAAATATATTTCCGGCCCTTTCTCCCTAAAATAACATTACGAATATATACAATTGAATCGCTTGACTAGTTAATTTAAGCTGGAACATGATTGCTGAAAACACAGACCCCTCATTCTTTCAGACATGTACGCGAGACGAATTAAAGCGGTCCTTTGCCTGCCGTTGTGACTTAGTGATCCAATATGCGTAGATTGCCTGATACAATTTTATTTTCTAAAACGGTTCCAGAAGGTAGATCTATACGTTCCCCGTGATTGGCGATTATAATGACGGTGCCTTTCAGCGTTACTCCTTTTCCGAAAGTGACATCGCCCGACACCGTCAAATGATCCAATTCGAGGAGATCTGGTATTGTCGGAAATCTGATGAGAAACTCTTTCACCTGTAAGAAAGGCAAAAGAGACTTAGACATCGCTATAATGCAGTTAAAGAGTTACATGAATTTTAACCAAGATTAAAATAAGAGTTAGTCTTACTGACTTTTGAAAAGTGATTGTCTCCTAATTTGATGAGAGGCGTTGTCGGGAACATCCTTTGAGGACTCATCACAAGAGATCCGTTGCGCAGTGTATATAAATTGCTCATTACGAGCATCAGATCAGAAGTCTTTTTCACCGGCAAGAATCTACTGCGCGGTACATTTATACCTGTAGCAAATAAATAAACATTTTTAATTAATCACAATCGTGTACAGAATTGATATAAAATAAAGCAGAATCCTTGAAGAGATAAAGAATTCAGATTAAAGAATAAAGAATTATTTTTATTAAAGCAGGACTGTTATCTCTTTAAACATACCAACACTTCCTTCGAATGATTTCATAGCGGCTCCTACAGCTGTTTCAAGTTGTATTATATTTAGGCCATTGGGAAAAGTTTTGTTGTTTACAATTATCTCCATATTCAACGCTTTTTGCTCAAGCACTCTCTCAATAGCTGTTAAAAAAAACAACATATGTTAAATACGGCTTTAATATTATATGGCATACATGATATTTATTTATTATATGGCATTTATTTATTATGTGGTATGACAAATTTAAATATACATACCACTAAGTTTAATCCAGAGGTTGTTAGTGTTGAAATACTTAAATGTCTTAATGGACTTAAAATCGTCGATATGATCCTTGGGAACTTGAGCTATTTCAAGGAGACGAAGTTTATCCTCGTATTTTATAAGTGTACCACCCTATAAAATAAAATATATGTATAATTAGGTCTGTCTCATAGCGCTATTCCAGACATATTCCGTACTTCTCACGAAACGCACCTTGACATCCGCTCGCGTTTTGTCGGTTACTTCCATCACAAATTCAAGAGATGGTTCCGGCCTTTTACTCAACAACGACTTCAAGATTTTAATATCCACCGTAGCACCAAGATTATCTATGTTCGAGATAAAACAATATTCGCGGCCCTGGAAAGAATCAGAGTTTCTTTTAAGCGGATTGTTGCTATTATTTACGAACACCGAAAATGAAATCTCGTTACCTCACGAATGAATTTTTTAAGTAAACCAGAGTTTTGGAAACTCTCGTAGAAGTCTCCGTGGCCGGGTGGGTACCAGCTGTTAACAAATTATACATTATTTTGCATAAACGTTTAAAAAAATATTAATGGTGACTTTATGAGAACTGTCTTACGCTTCTATATCCTCATCGATTTGACAGTGCTTAGCGATCGGGAGGAGAGAATCCCTGTTTATGCGCGGATAACAGCTCTGATTAAAAGTGTAAATATCTATATCGATTCCTTTGTACTTCCTAATTATCCGTTGCGTATCGTCGTCCGTGTTGAACGAGTTCATCAGTATGAGTGGCACGTTAGCGTTATACGTTTTATTTAGGTGCTGTTACAACAGAAATGCATTATCAATTATTATTTATTGTTATAGTCTTATAACTAATAAGTGACTATATATGTAAATGGTAAAAATAAACTGTTAGCTATGATTATTTTGCGATACCTCGATTTGTTGAACGGTAAGATCAAGAAACGTGAGTCCATTTCGCACAGCGATAACGGATTTCGGCCCGTGGCATCCCATGCTCGTTCCAAGACCACCGTTTAATTTGACAACAATCAACTTGTCCAGCAGCTCCTTCACCTCGTTCGTCTCCGGCGATGGCAAGGAGTTGTAATCCTTGACCTATGAAAACAAAGATTTCGACTTAATTTGATTTTCCTAGTAGTTAATAGAATTCATTAATCAAAGCAGACTGACAAGATACGTCTCGGAAAATTTCTAGAAGATGGTTTTATAAAATCTCAATGTTTCTTCAATAAATCATCGTAATAATATCGATACAATTTAATTCATTATTAATCAATATAGAGTTTGTTAATTAAAACGGACTAAAGAGCTACACAGAAGTCACAGAACTACGGCTACACAGGATATCGTTTACATTTCTTCAAAGGAAGAAAAGGAGAGCGCTAGATCTCCTCGCGGCAGTTTTTCCGTCTACACGGTCGGGTTTCACTCACCGCATCTTCGGACAGCTTCTGAATGTGGTTCCACTCCAAGGACGGGCCCTCCTCCTGCAGAAATCGCTCGAACAGATGCTGGAATCCGGAGAACTGCCGGCCGATCATCGCCTTCTTGTCCTCGCGGGCGGTCGCCCCCAGCTTCTCGAGCTCGCGCTGCAGCTCATCCCGTGCATCTCTCTTCGTACGCTCGCGGAACGCCTGTGTATCTGAAGAGCTGCGTTGGTGACCGCGTGCCTGTGGAGTTTTCCTCCGAGGTATAGACTAGATCTTTTATTATTTTTTTTACCTATCCTTTTCGCGAAGTCTTCCGAGTCCGATCCGCTAAACTGCTCGCCGCAATTCGAGAGATCGCGCATGATTTTTCGAGACCGTAAAAAATCAATTACAAAAAAATAGAAAAGGAAAAAAAAGGAAAAAAAATAAATAAATCGTGTATATGCGTGCGATGACTCGGGGTGTCCGACCGCCGTCTCAAAAGTTCTCGTTTAAAATCTCCCGCGTCGGGGCAAAATTCCCATGTAGAAATGCAATCACGCAAAAATCGCCCGCAATCCGTAATCAACTGCGTCGCTAATGAGCGAAGACGAACTCCGTTTTTTTCTTTTTTTTCTTTTCTTTTTTTTTCTTTGACATGCGACGAATCATCGTGAATTTGTCTGTCTTGAAAAGCGACCAGCGATCGCGTCGTTCACGCCTAGGCCTAGGAGGTCTCTCGAGGGACGAAATGAATAGATAGTGAGAAAACTATTGGGAAAAAAAACAAGCAGTAAAATAAATTAACGCCGGGATAAATCGCGCACGATAACGATAACGAGTCTATAGCACTATTAAATTCGTAGTGTCAAATTACACTCAATTTGAGTCATTAAAAATTATTTCTATCGTCTATCACTGCCTCTACTCAATATGTCGTTAATTTAACTAAAACAATGTTTATTTATCTAAACTAATAGAATTAAAATAATACTGTTTGTGTTGAAATAATAAATTTTTACACACATGGTAGTTAAAAATAACAGAATGTCATTTAACTCAATGTAGATATTGATTTAAATTTTATCCTTTGATATTTTTAACAGTGAGAGGTGAAAATTATCACAAAAAATACGTAGGTGTCTCAAGACAGGACAGGAGGAAAGAAGAATTTCTTCCGACTCTTTTTCTCCGGATTAATTAAAATTAATCGCGCGATCTATCTTTCATTGTCTTTATGTCGCGGCTAGATATGTAAGTGGATATCTTTGACTAAGCGAGGTGCAGGCAAACGACGGTAGCAGCCAGTAGACCCTGAGGGTGAAGTCTCATGGAGCCAGCGTATATGGCGTACCGGTGTATGGCGTACAGAAGCTTGGCTAATCACAGGCTTTACGCACCTTTTCGTTACGCCAGCACAAACATCGGCTGTCCCATAGAGCGTATTTAAGCAGCGTAATGATTAATAAGCTAATCACAGTGTTGTACAAAGCTTATTTTCAAAATGGATGCTCAAGGGGTCTTGTGATTGGCTTATTGATCATTTCGCCGGCGTAAATACGTCCCATGGGACAGCCGATGAAATTTTCAGCGCAATTTTTAACACATACATTCATACATGAAGCAATATTCCATATGCGTGTACGTGGGTGTGTTATCATCGTAGCATAAACGCTTCAAAAACCAGCGTAACATCTGTGCTGGCGTAACAAAAACGAGCGTAAAGTCTGTGATTAGCCAAGCTTCTTCACCCTGACCCAGTGTCGCGATCGCGTTGATCTCGCTTGCCAAGCGATAATCCGAGATGACCCCTTCACCGGGGACTCTGTCTATTGTTAAGAAAAAAAAAAAAAAAAAAAGAAAATGAAAAATGAAGATAAAGAGAAGAACGATATATTTCATTTTACTTTGACTTAAAGTTCAGATGATATGCTCAGATTTAGTCTTTTCCCTCTTTTTTTCCCATTCTTTTCCCTGCGGATGAGTCGGACGTAAAATGCGCGGGATGTATAATATAATCGCCTATTTAAATATTTAACTTTCAAATGTGTGTGCCGCGATAGTAATACGCCACATAATCGTCGGATTTGCATTGAAGGTGCGTAAAGCTTTAGGACGCGAGAGAAAAGTTTCGCGGCTGGTTACCGTGACTTATATACCATAATGAGACATACGTGAAAATTATCGTGGAAAACATTTTTGGCGTGTTAAAAAAAATTAATCTACTTTTCATACATAGCGTCGAGGACCACTAAATTCATAATCGACGAAACAATAATCGATACTCGTACAACGCTGGCTTCCTCGCCCCCGCAGTTGACCCTTTTACGGCTACGCGATAAGATAATTTCGAGACACGGAGTCCACGTCGCATGAATTTTATCTTTCCGTTAAAATAACAGTCGTTAGTCGAGTTACACTCGCGGAATCGGGAGAGATTAGGAGATACGAGACCTGCCACGGGAAGAGAAGAATTTGGAACTGCTAATAATACGCGAACATAATTCAAACGCTGTTGTCACAAGTGTTTGTGATAACAGGTATTCGGAAGATTTAATCGGAACGCCAGACACTTAGAATCTACCTTTTGCGACACATATGTGATGATAAACTAAATCGCAGATAATTCTTGCGATTACTATTTCGGTTATCATCTCGCATCAGTTATCACAATGTCTTATGTGTAAAATAATTGTTGGATGACAGAGGAGAGAGAGAGAGATCAGAAAACTCAGCAAAACTTCGTCATTTCTTACGTAACGATGTAAACGTCAACGATGACAAGAAAAAAAGAGGAGTTTCTTAAGGTCGACTGAAGGTCACAGCGTGTTCTCTGACCGGGACATCATTTTATTTACATAAGTTGATTTTACTGATCTTCCCGCGCGGTAAAGTCGCCGCGGATACCGGCGCTTTACGAAATATCTCGTATTTACTATTTTGACACGTGGATATTCTGACAGAAAAAAGAAATACAAAACAAAGCGTGCGGAGCATTTCCGCGTCACGAGCTCTGTTCCCGTCGCCTTTCGATCTCTCAGAGAGAATCTTTTCGTTACGATCCACGAATGAGGGAATAATCGTCGTTTTCGAGAATTAAAGGAGATAAGTCGCACGGGTCGACGCGGGTTCGAGGGTTAAACGGCCAACGAGATCGGCCAACGACGATTACACCTCATTGTCAGCGTGACGCTGCGAGCCGGGTATCGCCTATCATTAGCTTACATAACGACAGATTAACACGCGTGCTCGTCCAAGGACACGCACAATTTTCATCTCGCAGCGAAGACAAGCTGTCGAGGTGTTATCCTGATCCCCGACGGACACGGGACGGAACGTCCTCCGGCGGGGATTTCACTCCGGGATTACTCCGGGCTGGGGAAAACGTCGATCGAGGCAACGACTTAATCGCATTAGGATTTCTAAAGATAGACGATTATCTCACGTGGGGGGGATAAGGCACGAGAGAGTTTAAGGAAAATCGTCAACGTTACAACGTAAACAGGTGTACACCTCGCGGGCCGGCTTCTGCTAGGATCAAGGTCCCGCTTTAGATTCTCTCTCTAGCCGCGATAAGGAGAATTCGCGGCTCATTTATGCTTTATTCAACGATATCGCCCGCGAATGCCCATTGATAAGCGTATAGATACGTCAATGAACTACAATATCTATGTGTGAGTTTACGTTATGTAATATTCAGTTATTATGCGAATTAAATTATTAATTGAATATTACATAACGTAAACTCACGCCACAAGTAACTGCACTTGACTCTCATAGCCCACTTTTCCCTTCGTTAGTTTTAATATCGAGTGTCATTAAAGTTAATTAATCGAATAAATTTAATTGAACTAGAATATGTTTCGCAAGTTTTCCGACAGTTCGTAACGTTTTTTTGTGTGCCTGTGTCGATGTTTACTCCTCAAGCAACCGGACGGAGCGATTAGAAGCCGATAACGTTTTAATGAGCAGATCGTTAGACGCGACATTCTTTCCGCGACGAAACGCTCGGGGGTCCCTTGAATTTATTCGGGCGCGAAATTCTTTTCTGTAAAAAAAAGAACACTCAGAAATCCTTCGGATTTAATTCGAGGTCCTTTCCGCGAGGGAGGAAAACGCCTGGAGAATCCTTCAGATCCAATTCGAACGATTTCACCACGCTTGGAACTTGGAATCCCGGAGGGGCGACCGGTCAACGGGGGCCCGCGACGGTTATCACTTAGCTTCTTATCACTTACTTGCAACAAGTACTCCATGTGCGCCACTTTGTACACGAACGCGCGTAGCGGACGATCGGCGGCCGTGGAATGCGACTGCGGCATCGCGCGCGTGCGATCGGCGGCGCTCCACCAAACACGACGTGAATGCGTGGGGTATAACACGTGACGTGCGGAACGAGACCCGAGAAAGAACGCGGGACGTCTCTTTCGAACGCGGGTTTTCCTCGGGGATGAACGTGTGCGGAAACGACGCGGAACCCTAATCACGCCGGTAACGTATGTCGAGACGTCGAGGAAGTCGGCCTATTTATTGCATACGTTTGGCATTGACGAGAAATTATAAATTGTATTATTCCTCCCGCCTTCCTGCGACGTTCCTATTTGACTTCTTAAAACGCGAAACAAGTGTCACTTGGGCTTAAAACATATTTCATGAATTTGCAATAAATTATCAACCGGATATCGCGCGACTTGCAAAAATGCAAAAAGAGTCATATACATTATACATACGCGTCATTTTTCCTTCCACCTGTCAACCCGAAAGATACGGCGGATCTATTGATGAAATATGGTACGTGCCTAATTATGCGAGTAATGCCAGTGATTATAAGCGCGAAGGCTGTCTGGAAAAAAAAATATATATATATATATATATATATTCGTCTCGAATATAGTCCTTTCAACCAGCCGAATTGCTCCCAGCGAAATATTTGTGTGACCATAAAATTCGTCTTTCCTAATCTCTCTTCCTTTCCTACGAAAAATTAACAGATCTATTCATGTCGGGGAACAATATGGTACGTAATAGTTTGAACGTTTGAACAGTAAGGTAAACGTCCCAGTGGCCGGACACGTACCAGTGTTCGACCACGTTGGAGAAAAATATTTACTATTTATTTGAAGAATTAAAAATAAAAATAATAATTATTGTAAAAAAATCAATATTTAACGATTTATTGGAAAAAACTTCATTTTTATTTTTAATTGTTCAAATAAATAGCAAATATTTTTCTCCAATATGGTCGGACACTGGTACGTGTCCGGCCATTGGGACACGTTTATCTCACAGATATATCCCAGACAGCACGCATCTCCAAAAGCGGGACATAAGATGTCTAAAAGACATCTTTTTTTAGACGTCTTACGAAAAAGATGACTAAAAGACGTGTAAAAGACGTCTTATGTCCCGATTTTTAACATGATGTTGTCTGGGATAATATCTTAATTGATAAGTTAAGCATTTTGAAAACTAACGCTTTGACTTCTAGGGTCACCTCAAGAGTAACAGAAGCCGCCCGTTAAATGTCCAGCTAGAACGTGGAGCATAACCTCAACGCGAATCCGTGGCGAACACTTTTGACAATCGAGGGTGAAACCGAGAGAAACGAGGAAAACCGTAGGATTTCGTTTGATCGCTTGCAAAAATAAGATTCCAGTACTTACATGGCCATACGTCGGCTTCTCATCTTTTACAACCCTGTCGGCACTGTCCTTGACAAGTGAAAACAAAAGAGAGACGTGTGAAGAGGAGAGGTTCGCGCGCGACGTCGGGCAGGCTTAATTGGCGGACAAACACAGCAAAGGACGAGGCTCTAGAGAGCACGGGAGGATTTACCTTTCTGTCGTCGACTTGCAGCATCGTCGATCGAGATTGCGAGACGGTTGACCGTGCCCTTTAACGCCGCGGCGAAGGTCACGACAGGTCGCAACGGTGATCGAGATTCGTCGGGGCCTCGGGTGGAATCGCTCCCGAACTGGGATCGTACGCGGCCACCTAAACACCGTGAAAAATCTTTCGTTTAATTGCGAAACAATCCATATATTTTTACCTCGAACGTATAAAGATACTCTCGACCACGAAAATATGCCGGCTCGTGTGACGTGACGTGTCCTTGCGGTCGATAAGTGACGTTACAGGACACCGACTTTACCAACGACGGTGTTCGCTACCTGGCATTACGTCACGATCTATTCGCGGGCGAACGTATTCAAATTCAGTTTTAACATATCGCAAATTAATGCAAGTTGATACTGATTGATACAAATTTAAATTAAACCGGATTGAATGTAATGAAGAAGGAAAGCGAGGCGGCAAACTTCTTCTTCTTCCGGTTATTGGCACTAGCAGCGATTTCCCTCTCGGTTTGCAACGGCCATTATTCAATTCGACTGTGAAACTGCGTAGTATAAACTCGTAAACTCGTAAGATTTCAAACTCGAGAATGTGAACGGGCCTAAGCAGAATGGCTGTCTTGGCAGTGTTTAATGCCTTTAAGTCTTTGTCTTATGTAACGCACAATACTTTACAGTGCGTTACATAAGACAAAGACATAAAACACTGCCAAGACAGCCATTCTGCTTAGGTTCTAAGTGTATGTGTGTATGTATAATTGTACGTGTATGTCCGCGGTGTCTTGAACTCGGTAATGCCGTGAATAGGTGCGTTAGGCCCAAGGAATTGCGCGGATCACTTCCCCCTGCGGCCGTCTCCATTACATTACATGTGCCTTATTGTCGAGGCGGCAAACGACTCCCCCTTTTGAAGAGATGTCTATTTTTCGTGTTACTTATGTACATACATACAACAAAACTCTGATATCAACGAGTTAAAATCGATCACGTGATCCCGCGTCACGTGGACGGTAGAGTTGAATTCAAATCCGCGCGCGCTTATATATGGCGGTCATATGAAATTATCTTTGTCTTACATTACTTTCTGCGCGCAGTTTTGGAATATGTTATAAGTTTAAAAAGTGCAGCATTGCAATAATTGACAGTATACGATTAATTAGAGACCGTCCAGATACATAAGAGTCTGGCCACTTTGACAAACAACGGCTGCGTTTAAGAACAATGCACTTTATATAGTTTAATATATTAATTAGAGACACTTGACATATTTTGTATGCTGGTTTGGTATTTATGGCAAATATAAGGCTGGATTCGTTTTGCGCGAAAACTTTCAGTATTTTGGATTAGTTCTGCCATTGTTTGTTAACACCAATCAAAAACGGACGGTCAGTAACCAGATTCTTACTTGAGGTTCTCTACGTTAGGTATAGATATGTTCAGCGTTATGGTTTTTGTAGATATCTTTGTGTAGATATCTTAATAGTAACCGATGTAATCAATCGTCAAAGCCGGAATGAAGGAAACACTTATTGCAGCTTATAAATATAAGATAGCTTTATTATAGCTTTACATAGTTTCTTGTCAAACTTTCGAGAGAGAACAAAACGTAACGCTTACGAGGCGGAAGTGCCAGCTCAACCTGAAGCTATACACGCACAAAGACGGAAAACGCAGGGTGTCGCTAGCGCGACCATGAACATACTAAATATATAAGAATTGTCTACTTAACAGTTTTTATTAACGGTTTTCAATCTAGATTAATTCTATTTATAAAATTATTTTAAACAAATTAATTATAAAATGTATACTTTTATATAGAAATAAGTAGAGACTTATGTTTTTTGGTATTTCATAAAGTAGGAATAGTTCTAGAACTTTAAAAGTTAGAATCAAGGCTTTAATTATATTATAATACGAAAAGAAAATTGATAATCTCTGATAAAGATTCACTATTTTATATTATTTACCGTTAGAATGATATGTATCAAATAGTGAGTGAGTGAGAGACAGAGAAAAATACACGATATATATAATAATAAACTAAAGAATATAAATTAATGTAAATATAATGTAAATGTGATGGAAGAGTAAAATAAAATATATATTTATATAGTTTTTTACATAAACATATTTTATTGAAGCCTTAAAATATAAGCTTAGCATAATTATGTCTTATACTTAATTGTTTAGTTTTAATATAATGCGAATCTTCTCATAGCATATAATATGATAGTACTACGTAACAAATTATTTCTGTGGTTGCTAAAAAGGCACTGATCATTAATATGTTCGTTTAACTTCGCAAATATATTGCTATCTATAAACTCTTGCATTACTCTACATGTAAAACTATGCATATTAAAGTGTTTTAAAGTTTTATTCGTATTTAAGAGATTACTTATTGTATTTTCAGTTATTTTACAAATATATATAAGATCTCGTGACGGATATATTAATTGTCTTTTATTCTTTTTATTTATTAAATTGACGTGTGGTTGGTCTATTAAAGTGTTGAGACATACAGTGCAATGCAATGGTATTGTAAGTTCTTTTAATACATATCCAGCTATATAACTAATAACTTCCGTTTTATATTCTGTAATAGGACTTGAATATCGTGTTTGTAATGACGAATAATCAAGGTGAATCTCATGTTCCATTCTAAACATATCAGGCCATTGTATGCGTAATGCTATGTTTGTCGTTGCATTTATGATATAAATCGGCTGTTCAGATGACATATGCAATACTGCAATATCCTCTAATGGTGTACAAGTGCCACTATTTTTGTCTCGCAATTCCGTGTGTGTAATTAATTTTTTATACGCAGATTTAAATTGTACAACTGTAGGATCAATATTATATTCATAATGAGGTCTTAAATAATTAAAAATTAAATCAAGGTTTTCCAGACTTAATTTATATGTAGGAATGTACTTAAGAAGATCATTATCAGTGCATACAAATTTGTACATATGCAACAAACTTTTGATATTCATTAATAAACCGCGAAACCCCATTTTTACTTTTGAATTAATTACGCTTCTACGTTCTGCCCCAATTGACAATGATTTAATATAAGTTGCACATTCTTGAAGTTTTCGATCAATTTGAACATAATTACTGTTATGTATGGGTTTTTTGAGACCATGTTGTCTTAAATTTATGGAGTTGAATATATCGAAAAGATCGTTAAATAGAGTTATGAATTTTACAGTTGGCGAACAATCCCTAAACTCCGGTAATCGTAATTTATTTTTACATATTATCATAGCATTAGTCATGGGACAATTCAACAACTGCATGCCTGACTTTACTTTTATTTTACTGTTACTGTGATATTGCATATGTTTAATCGTTATTTTATTTGTTAAATATAGGCGTTCAGCTTCTTGTAGTTTCTGTAGATTTGCAACATGTTTCCATTTAATGATGTTTTCGGTATCATCATATAGTTTTTCCTCAGAAGATAACGCTATTCGCACGAGTTGCATTAAACGACGCGGATTCATAAATATATATACATTACTGTCATTGGCTGGATGTTTAAACCAAGGCTGGAATGTTAATTCCATCCTTGGGTTAAACGGTTTAAGCTCCAAATTACATCCAAGTTTTCGTAACATGTCTTCATAAAATAGTGAGTAGCCACCGCATAGTGCTGTAACCAATAGTCCAGCTTCCTGAACAGCTATTAAACATTGTTTTATCAAATTGACTTTTTGTTCGTTACTTGTGTAGTTAATTAAATAATACGCAATAGGTAACTTCCAAGATGCATTAAGGCACACAATACAAAATACTAACGCTCGGCTGGCAAGTGCTGCTGTGTCACATGCGATATTATTGCCACAATCTGAATAACCGACGAATTTACCTTGATAATATTCATCGCCTTCGCGTATATATATTTCTTCGAACATTAATGAACCTATTAATTTGTAGGGAACGGAATCAGCAAATTTACGTATAGCCTTTAAAGATTCGGAATTAATGCCTGGCTCCCCGTTAAACGAAACGTACCATTTTGATATGGTCTTTGTATGTGGTAAACATTTGTAAAATTTATTACGAACGTGGTCATATGCACTTGGCGAATAAAAATGTAAACTTAAGGCAAATTCCCGTATACTAGGTTTATATATTTTTGATACGGGTAATTGTTTTCGCTTTCGTATTTCGCACTTAATAAGGTCTCTTGTACATGACTCAAAATCTTCCAGCATAATGATTTCGTCTTCTTGTATGAGATTATTTTTCTTCAGTTCTTTCAACACGTACCGTATTGAGTGAAATTTTTGTGGTGCTGTTGGATGTTTATAAGCAGTGACGGCCAGTTTTCTCTTCAATGCTCTCATTTGACGTACGTGTACTTCTCGCATTCGCTTCTTTGTTGGCGAATTCAATATTCTTTCTGGAGAAATACTTGTGGAACGGCTCATCCTTTCAGAATTAATACTATATATTTTTGTTGTAGAGGTCTCTTCTGGTCTTTTCACTTGTTCACTACCTATAATAATATTATAATTAAATCATATTCATATCTACATATAATAAATACAAATCAATGAAAAGAAAATAAGATTGTTAAAACCAATATGCTAAATTATTTTTTATGTATATAAATTTAATGAATCTCAATACTAACTAGCTCCATCATTTTTTATATTTTCCTCACTGGGTTCTTTGTATGTTCCGACTTTGCAGGCATCTTCAGTTAACTAAAACATGAAAATCTATTAAGTATCTCATTATTGTATATAAAAATCTCATTATTGTACATTAAAAATGATTAATTAGAATAGAATTTGTATTATTTACTTACAGAACACATAGTATCCCGTTCCAGTGGATTACATTTATCCATATTTAACGCTTCCAAAGACTTTTGTTGCATCCCATTGTCGTTTGGGAATCTAAACAAATAATACAAATTGTTAAAATCATATATGAATTTCGTACATAACCTAAATGGTAATAGTTTATATTTTATATACTTACGAGTGATTTATTGTTTGCTTTTTCTCCTCTTGCGGAGCGTTTTCTATAAAGATCCGGTTTCTGCAACTAATACAAAAACTCATGTTACTTAATACGTTATATCCTTCGCGTTCACTCGTGTTGCTGCGCAAAATGGTATGGCACAAAAACAAAAGCTTGACGGCACCGGGCACCGCGAGCCCCGGGCACGCTTGAAATCAATACTCCGAATGTTTCCGAGTCTAACCGAAGATTGTCGAGTTCGCCCGTTCTTCCGTCAATTGGCTGATTTAAAATAAAAATATCTGATTGGCTGGTTCAGTAGAAAAACTACAGGCACCAGGGGCTGTGAGTGGCTGTGGTAAATCGCAACGTGGTCAAACGGGGGTGCATTTCACGCATGATGCGCATGTGCGTTATTTATCCTTGTTGTTCATCAAACGTTAAACAAGGATAATGGCCGCGTTCAGCAGACCAAGCCGCTCAGTAGCAGTCGAACGTGATTGGCTCTTACTTTTAGAACCAACCAATCAACGCGGAGTGTTAATAAGACGAACTCAACAGTTGTGTTTGCTGAACGCGGCCAATTGATGCATCTCGGATCTCGGGACCCGGGACGCTCCCGCAAGCTTAGGTTCCGTCTATGTTTTAAGTCTATGGTTTCGATTGAGTTATTATGATTATTACAATTTTTTATCCTTCCACAACTGGACGATTGATTTGTCACCACTTGTCACGACTTGTGTTTACCGGTGTTTACATCAGTTTAATTGTGGGGTGAGAACTGTGCTAAAGGAAGGACGTGCGAAATACGAACAGGATTATCACGGCGCCTGCTATTTTCACACGGCGATCCACATACTCGATCTCATTCACGATCGAGAAAATCGCGTAACGGTAATTCAA